TCTGAAAGATATTGGGACTTTTACTTCAGTAACTATGCAAATTACGCTTCGCTCATATTTTCGGAACCCCTGCACATTTTTTATATTGCCCATAATGATATGGAAAACTCAGCGCAAACTAGGGTAGTATCACTCTGGAGGAATTTCAAAGGGTAGTGATGTTACTGATATCGCTCACACAGCACAGTTCATAACAGAGGTGTCTGATTCGCGGAATAATAACAATTATTTTATAGCGTTTTGTATCATGAGGTATACACATAATGGATTGTGATTTCGAAGCTGGATCACCAATGGATGTGATGCACTGATATCAGACGATACTAGCAACCGTCTACCAGTTCGTACCGTATTATGAATTGTGAATTAGAAGCCCACTACAGGGTCCTCCTAAGAGCATATTTATGAGGGGTTGATAAAAACGGTCCTACCCACTTATCTGATCTCATACCACGTTTGTCAGAGATTTTTTCGCGTCTGCAAAATAGTGGTGAAAAAAAAGAGAGAAGTGGGGCATGATTGATTAAATCCTAGCTTAAATGTATGAGAGGGTGAAAGTACAAGTAAGGTATGTAAAACGGCTTGCGGAAGTAGGCGCGACCGCCCAGTGAAGTTGATGGCGCTAACCTGCCCCTAACCACAACAGCAAGGCCTATCCCGTTCCACAGCAACTTGCGTCAACCTATGGAACATGTTATTTTGCCTTGACTGTAAAAATACGGCGGGAGAGCATTCATAAACTCACTCAAGTAATAGTTTTGTAACTTGCAATGCATACTGGATAACAGTATTCAAAAAAAAAACCGGTGGTTCGAACCTCGTCACAAATCACTACATCTACCTGGATGAATTCGCTGACTAATGGTGCAGACCACCGTCAGCGAACAACAAAGTTGCTCGTACATACTGGGAGGCAACATGACTAATGTACTAGATTCGAATTCTACAGTAACTCAGGTACCACCCTTCTGCTTCTGCACCACCTGTTCTGGGCTTCCTGCACACATGGACGGTGTTCCGAAATGAAAGGGAAGGGATCCGAGAAATGTGGCGGGTCATAACTGGCCAAGAAAACGCTCATCTCCTGCTGGATTCCAACGCATTCCGTATATGGAATCAAGTGGTTCCCTTCATATTGTAGTGGCCAAGGAGATGGAAAGAGAACGAAGCAGGCGCAATCGTCCACCTCACGGGAGAATGTGGTCTTTCGATGAGCATATGAAGGGATGCTGACTTTTTATTTGGGCTATATGATTTCTCATTTATGGGACTGCACTGGATAAAACCGTGGCCGTCTTCAGCGTAGCTCAGCATAGCCCGGTATTTCACGTTGTGGTTGCACTCGCTGCTTTACTTGTGTTCCACGATACGTCGCGTTATTCTCCCAAGTGCACGGATAGGACTAAAATTCCAACAACGGCGCGCAATCTGAGTATGACTACCGGAAACGCTACATATACATACGTCGTGCCTCTACAATATGATTCTACCCTGACGGTTTTTCAGACTGAAATGTTCAAATTCATTTCGTATATCCTTCATCAAATGTACTATCCTCCACAAAATGAGCAAACAATGGTTTTCAATCGATAAGCGTGATCATTTAATGGCTATCTCAAAGTAACACCATAAAGCTCTGATAATTCATCTGTAATTTGTTTATGAATTAGATTAACTTCTTCCTTTGTGAGAGCCTTTGAATGGCTTCTGTAGACAATCCGATAAGTTTGACTTTTACGATTCTTCTTATTGGTGTACTCATCAGTAAGGATTACCTGAAATAAAAAGAATATTGGTTGGGAAAAAGGGCAAGAAATAGATCGACGACTAGACAATTGGGATAATGCGGCGTAGTCTTAAATTTCACAGGACTGAATGATTTTCATAAAAGATCGTACTCTTAAAGGTTACAAGTGGGACATACTGTCAGTACATGAACACAAGTGCTATCGCAAATGGGATGTTGCTGACGAAGAGTTGTGAATGGTGTACCTTCTGATGGCTAGTATTACCGGTCGCATCTCACGACTCGGGGTACCACTCTTTTTAAGAAAAATAGTGTAGCGCTTTAGTCCACAGAATCTGACTTCTGATGGAAATTTTTGGCATAATTCAAAACTGAAGCAAAACGCGAGACAAATTGGGCAGTGGAAGTGCCATTTGTGATCCGCTTTTGATGAAGTTCACGCCTATATGTAGTTATGCAGTCTGTCCTCAGGTTTACTTGCTAGATGATACTTCTACAGTTGAGCTATATGCTCGGTGACTCCTTGAGTGGCACGCAATGACGTTGTAACGAGGACGGTGACCACATGCAAGTTTTGGTCATCACCTAGTAATGCTATTGCTTTTCACCGCAGTTCGGGCGTAGGTGGTGTAGCGGCAGGCGACGCACTATCGCACACGAGTGGACAAGGGTTGGAACCCTCGATCGGTGCTCGCTTGAGCCAACCAAGCCTTTCATTCCTCAGATCGGTTCATTCGCAACAGAGACGTGTGGGAGGATAAAAGCGCTGACTTATACATCGGCTGACCACAGCAATTCATTGAATGGGCCCCACACGCATTCAAACCGCCACTTCGTCCTAAATGGAACTCCAATGGGGGAATGTATCCAAAAACAGAATCGATGAACGACAAGAGTTAACCCCTTATTCTTTTATCACTGTATATTACATTCTGTCAACAATCATCTACCTATCCTCGCTCCAAAAATGTTCGACTCGGTTGCCTATGTCCTTTTCATAACACGAGCAGAGCAAGATTTCAGCGAGTCTTTCCTAGCAAACCTTTGTCCGACCTTATCAGATTCTAACACTTCACAAGCCGTCTATGTTCTTGTCACACCCCATATAAAATAACAAAATTCAGGTCTCCTTTTCACTGTTGAAATGAAAGGCTTATGTAAAGGACTTTCACCCTATGAATTCCATTACAGGTTCCTGTCACGTAACCGCTACGATCCCCTCGCATTCCATATTGCACACAAGTGACCAAGGTTTTTCTATGAACGAAATTGCGACAGGCTCATTGCCTCCCTTGCTCCCTTACCAGATAAAAACAGTTTTTGCCACCAATCATCTACGATCCCGTCAGGCCTCAATACTCATATAAACTAGTCGATTACCGAGGCTGAACAACCAATACCAAAGATGAAACGAAGTCTGTCGTCTCCTGCATATTAACTCTCATTTCCGCCCATACCAGTTGCTAACTCGTCATCATTCGTTTACTATCCCATCATCACGTACCAATGCGGTAGGGCTCAAATGGTCGCCACAAGGGCGAAGATCGACTGGCTTTTGGATAGACTAGCTTTTGCCCTCTCAAGCTCCTATCAGTCCGTTTCAGGTGCTATACCCCCTCATATAGTAGTTTGCACTTTATGAATTTAATCAATGCGTCAAAACTTCATGTCACTACGCTGCCTGCATACTGTCATTAGGCGAATAAATGTTGATAATATATTCAGAAGAATTACAAGAAAAAGAAGGTGAGGCGTCTAGGAGAAATTCATGTCCTTGCATTGGGGAAACCTCTATATCACTGTTTAAAAAATTCGTTTTCATGCATACTGGACATCCTACTATATACAACGCGCCAAGTGTGTGTGTGTGTATGTATGATGTATGTATGTATGTATGTATGTATGTATGATGTATGTATGTATGTATGTATGTATGTATGTATGTATGTATGTATGTATGTATGTATGTATGTGGATATGGTCAGGTGTACTGGTAAGTATGTATTTGGAAGAGCTTCTTATACTCTATCTAACGATGCTTCGCGCGTCCATTTTCGTCACCCCTTTCCCGAGTTATGATTCCCAGAATTCATCATTATCACTTTGTTCGAGGACTTATGACTCAACCTAATACACCACAAATTCACAAGAGACGCCGTCGAGTCAAAAAAAAAAGGCCTAGATGGGGCGCAATAAGAATACTTAACTTGCTGTGCACACCCTAGGCGGACTAGTTTTCAGCTCATCCATGGTTAACGGAACTTCTCCCCTATCGCGGCATTCTCCCTTGCGGCATGCGGCAAATATCACTGCAATTACCGTACTCACCCGCTTCCCGCCAATCGATAGGACGCGATATTTTTCCTTGACTGGCTTGCTTTTTCATTGGATTTTATCGTTTTTTCTTCTAGCTCTTTTTAGTTTTCATGTTTATTAGACTTGATTAATTAAAATGACTCCTCCTATATAAAAGACGGTCAAGACCGCATTGGAATTGAAAAGAGCGGCCAGCCAATTCAAATAATTAAAGGACTCTCTACCTCACAAATTGCGCGCTCCAATCTTCCATCGCAATCCTGCGATAGGCGGCGGGTGCGGCGTGTGCGACGCCGTGTTAGGGGGGAAGTTCCCGGACCCGCTCATCCATGCATGATTACAGGCGTTGTAAAGGCTGTATAGTTTGCACTTTTTGCAAGTGGACGCACACGTTGCACGCAGGCAGCTTGCTCTAGCCAGCAGTAAGCAATGCCCATGCAGTGGGACAACTCGTCCCAACACCCCTTTCATGCAAAGTTTGTCGCCTTGTTCTACCGCTTCTTCAACTTTATATTTCTCAAAACACAAGGGTTTCCGCGTTTTCTTCCCCACTTTTGCAATATTCTAGATTATCACTTTCATTATTGGGTTGAAACCTGATACTCCAGACTTACTGCAAACTGTGAACCAGCCCATTCCTTAACTCTGCCCATTTTTCCTGGTGTCTGGACTTTTCGGAGCAGAAATATGAACTTTTACTCACTGCAGAACCCATTACGGTGAACGTTCCGCTTCTGTAAGCGGGATTCCTGTGAGATCATATGTGTATATTGGGACTGAGGATTGGGAATCTCGGAATTTGAGACTTAGGCAAAATTAATGCTTTCATATGTACACATTGATCTTGTCCGAAGTCCTAAAGTCTCAAAATTGACCCGACTTTTTCAGGAAATAATAAATTTCGGGACAAAGAGAGAGGCAGAAACGAATTACGAACGAACGCGTAAGCGTGCGTCACATGTCCTTAACCGCTTATCTGCATTCTTACTCAAGAAGAACATAGAAACATTTGCACGCATCTCCAACGTACAAACTACCGAAACGGTATGTAAGGATGGCAAGGATGGTGATTGAACAATGTCAAGAGTGTTCTATCAGATAAGTTGCCGTAACCGTGGGCATTTATCGGCAAAATGCAGGAATACTCACGCCTCTCGGATAACATGAGTTAGTGGCAGCTGTAGAGTGCGTCAGAGGTCCACAGGGTTCAAGACCCTATAGGAGGCAGTATTCGGGTCTCCGAGAAGAACTTGATGATTATATTTGCGCAAAACTTTCGAGCCTTATGAACACAAATAACAGTGCAAGAACCGATGGAAAGAATGCTTTCCAATTACGCGAGAATCAAGGCCTCATATAAAGTAGCTTTTCCCCCTCAGTAACCTTCAATAGAGATCAACCCGACTTCCAAAAGTGGTTATTTCTGGATATTGTGATGGGTCTCGAACTACAGTAGAACTGTGAAGACTTCCAATGGAATTTTCACAAGTGACTTTGATTTTCAAAGGCCATGGGGAGGTCAATCCTGCCGAAACGCTGGCAATGTAATGTTTGGGTTCCGACCTCGTGAAGAGTTAGAGCTACTTTCATCACGATGAACTCATGTAAAAAACTTAGAAAGCTAAAAAGTGCTTTGCTTGGTTGTAAAATATCCTGATTGATTTAAAATATATCCTACTCGAACACGAAGACGATGCGTTTGCGCAAATATTCTAAATACTCACCTGTTCCACCAAATCCCCACCAATGTTTCTCACGGTGTCATAGACATTGGCCGTCATATCATTATAAACGACGCCTTCTGGTAGAAAGAACGACATATCGAACAGAACCTGCAAGGAAATCACTTGAGTAGCTAGAATAAGAAGCTTTCTAACAAACTTAAACCACTATTGATATCGAGGAAAAATGCGAGAAAGAAATAAGCATTTCGTCTTTTGCGAACCTGGGGGTGCGCTGATATTGGCTTGTAGGTAATCTTATCCGTAGGTAGCTTCCCGCTGAACTGTGACAGAAACCCGGAGTCTGTGGACCAGAACAGCCTACAAATTAAGGAATAAATGTAGCATTGAACATTAGTGAAAAAGAATGAAAAGCTGACCTAATGTCTGGAATCCTATACAAAATCATCGCAAGGCGTTCAAGACCAAGACCAAATGCCCATCCTACTTTATCGCCAGCTCCTGCAGACTCCAATAAACGTTGCTCCATAATACCACAACCAAGAACTTCCAGCCACTTGCCTTCATAAAATACCTTGAAAAGTTTGCAATGTTTGAACGATCATAGAGAACCGTTAAGCGGGAGACAGGGTAAGCAGTATAATTTCAAGCGTGAAAGAAGACTAGCGCATAATTCATCTAGTTCGACGTGAAATGGATTCAGAATCGAATGTTTTGTTCCCCTTAACACTAAAACGGCAATAATCGCAATCGTGGTGAGCAATGGCAAAAACAATGAAAGAAATAAGAAGAAAATAACCTTTAAAAAAGTATAGATTGTTCTGTAACGCACCTCTAGTTCAAACGAAGGATGTGTGAAAGGAAAGTACGCGCTCACCCATCGCTTTTCACAATCTCTGCCAAAAAGAGCATCACTAAGGTCCTAGAAAAATTATGAAGCTCCACAAAGGTTGGAAGAATTTCTAATAGTAAAACGATAACATGGACGATACCTTACCTCTAAAGTGCTTTTCAGTTGGATTTCAAGGGCTCTGGCAGCGTCTTCGGTGTGTTTCTCTTGTTTATTTGGTGTCCTTTCGGTATTTTCCAAGACAGGCAACTCTTTTCCAGGTGAACAAATGAACAGTTGGTGCGGTGAAAATAGCCGAACCCCTTCGAGCTGGAAAGGCAAATGTTGACCGGAGCTGAATTCTCTCAGCTTTCACACGCTGAAGGTTTGGCTTTCATAGGCAATGCATCGCATGGAATTTCGAAGCAGCCTAATGAATAATCAAGCACACGTGCAGCCACACATAGCTACAAGAACGCAGAAACGGGAGTGACACCTTGTATGTTATTCTGTTGACTTCAATTTTTACGGATTGAGTTCCCCTACCTCCATGCTATACCGGGATGAACAGAGACAATAATGCATAGATTACTACAGCTTGCCAGAAGGCAATAATGAATGGATTAGCGGGTCGTAAGAGTTCACCAATCTTATCTGTTACTACAAACTCATCATACCGCAAGTGCAACCCAAAGGAAACGTATAAATGTATGGCACAAGCAGAACCCATAGAGAAGTCGGCCGTTGCATGTATAGGGTTCTGTCGAAAACGCAGAACTCCTCAATGAAGCAGAATAAGCTTTCGTACCTGATGAAAACAGGGGTAATGAGTACGATCGATTTCATCACGACGATATACGTCTCCTACGACTATGAAAGCATCGAGACCCTGCTTCAGCAGTTCGTATTGATGAGCAGAGGTATGTGCTCGGAGACAGTGCAATCTATTGACATAGTAAGTGTCCGACGGCCTCCTAAACCATCACTTTCTATGACCAACAAAAGTCAGCGTCAATTTCAAAAAAAAAAAAAAAAAACAGATCAGGATCAAAAATGATCGAAGAATTGAGCAAAATCTTTGTGTCATACCTGACCTCGATACATGATCTTCTGGAACCAGGAGCGAGTCAAAATTTTCAAACGTTGACACAATTCGTGGTTCCTTCTCACAGACAGTGAATATGGGCCTTGCTGGAAATGAGCACTCTTAATCAACAGTCGAGGATGATATCACTAAATGACCCTTTACACAACTTCATTTACAGCAAGACGCTTCGTTTTGAGCAGATTACACCACACACATAGAAATTGTCACAACTCTTCCGTCAATGATTTTTCCCTTTCACAACTATTTCTTTGACTCCAGAACAAGACCCCTATTGAAAGTGGACTGCCTGTGGATTAATATCCTACTTATATAATCGGCTAAGTGTGTCTGTTGGTGTGTTGTGTGTTTGTGTGTGTGTGTGTATGTGTGTGTGTCTGATCGGAAATTCATAACTCCTGTCCCCGTGGGCCGAAAGCGTTTAAATTTGGTAGGAGTACAGGCGGCAGGATGGGACACTTTTAGTGGGTGGCAGGACCAGACTCCGCCCAAAGGGGGCGGGGTTTGTGAGAAATAAATGTTTGAGCGAAAATCACAACTCCTGTCCCCGCGATCCCAGAGCACTCAAACTTGGTAGGAGTACGGACGGTAGGATAGGAACACTTATGGTGGATGACAGGACCAGACTCCGCCTACAATGGGCGGAGTTTGGGCAGAAATTCATAACCTCTGCCTCCGTGGACCTAGAGCGTTCAAATTTTGTAGGAGTTATGGGAACAGGATGGGAACAGTCACTGTAGGTGGCAGGACCAGACTCCGCCCAAAGGGGACGGGGATTGCGCGAAAATTGTCAATTTGGCCCTAGACCGTTCAAACTTGGTAGGAGTACAGGCGACAATATGGAAGCACTTAGCACAGGTGGCAGAAAAAGACCTCACCCACAGGGGGCGGGGCTTGCGCGAAAATTGACAATTTGACCATAGGACGTTCAAAGTATTATAATTGCACGAAAATTTCACGGAGGGACGCTTCCTTAGCCCATCTGTCCTTTTTTTCCTGAATAGTCGCCTTTGTGATATTATACGATGCTCTTACCTGACACAGCGAAGATGGCTTACAGAAAAATCGCTCCCAATTCAGAGCTAATACTGAGAGTGTAGAGCTTTCAAGGAAAAAGGAGAATCCGAAAAGTAATTTACGCATAGCAAATTTCTCACAGGAAGGAGAACCGCCCGGCGAAGCCGGGCGATACCATAAGAAGGAGGGAAGCCCGGCGTTAGCGGGGCGGCCCGACTGGTTAATCGATATAGGTTCGTACAGCCAAAAACAAAGCAATTCGAACCTCTTTAGCCACATGAAAGTCAAAACTCCACGGAAGCAAATTGGATAGTGACATCGAAAAAGCACGACATAAGGGTGACCCCAGAGTGTAAGACTCAGGACATGCCGAGTTAGATTATAGGGATTTCAACGTCCCGTGAACGTGTGACACCCGCTCCACCACCCACCCCCGTGGGCTTCACCCGGGGTACCTTTTTTAACGTTACAATGCTCAGACAAACTAAGCAACGAGTGTAGATCGCTCTGTGTCTATCCTTAAACATATACGAATAAATTTGCAATATCTTACACGAGTTCCTGTATGTTTGGTGGATGTGATCGATTATTCTTCTCTTTACCAACGATAAAGGATTCTGTGGTTCCAATAATAAGTGACGCTGAAGAAGTTTGCAAACCCCTTTGCTCAGATTCCAGGTACAATCTGTTTCGTAACGCTTTCCATCAACCTTAAAGAATAAAATAAAAATCTCGAAGTACCAGAGCACCTTGATTGGATCCATAACTATATTCTATTTGGAACTTGCACGTACAAAGCTCAACGACCTACCTCGAAGATTTCAGGCCTTTCGCCGGTTGGAACGGAATGAGTTGAGGCGCTCTTTTCTAGTTCAGACGAAGCAGCTAATGAGGCGCTTGTGAACAAGCTTCTTCTTAAGGAGAACCGGATGAACGAAGGCAAAACCATTCCAGTACCGCAACCACTATGTAGCAACGAACCAGACTCGAATCATGCGAGCAAAGGCGACCTAAAGAAGGTGTAGCTGAAAGCATTATTAAAGTCGACGTCAAAGGCTATGCTAAATACAGTACACTCGTTTCAAAGGCTGCATTCAGACCTGGTATAAACACCTAGACGACGCCCCGTATCAAGTGTGCCTTATATGGACTTACATAGATGGCTGCTGGTCTACACTTACAGTGCCGACGCCGAAGTTGGCGTCAGCTATCGATCGAAATCTCGCAAGCTTGATGCAAGTTGATGACTTTCAAGCATACTCTTTGCACTTAAGGCCTTTCTAAGGCATGAACGAAAGCTTAGAAGGAGAACCCGGCTCCTTCACTAACCTTACGGCAACAGACGCGCAACTACATGGATTAATATCTATGACATAACCTCATTCGAATACATCCATCCCAATCCTGTCACAAATATGACACATCAAAAAAGGCTTTGTGCAAGGACAGGGATGGGATAAATAGGGTACAGAGGTAAGCAAACCGGACACCCTTTCCGCTTGCTGAGTGTACAGTTTTCAATTCTATTGTATTGAGTTTTTGTATGAAATAGGTTAGTAGTTCAGGTTTCGAAGTTTTCCATTCATTACCAGGTATATATAGTACTCAATCACCTGTGGGGTACTTTTCCCGAGCACCTATGGCGAACAGATAAGGGTATTTGCTAATGAAGTTCTTGTTAGTGAGGTACTGGGACTGGGTACTATATATACCTGGTAATGAATGGAAAACCTGGAACCTGAACTACTAACCTATTTCACACAAAAACTCAATACAATAGGATTGAAAACTGCCGACGACGTAACTCAGCAGGCGGACAAGGGTGTCCGGTTTGCATACCTCTAGAGTACAAGCAAAATCGTACTCGAAAAAAAATCAAACAGCATTCGATATAAGAGCTGTACATTTCTGTTATAAAAAAAAGAGCGGGGGCAGAATGAGCAGTTAGCATGCCAAGATGGAGTTTATTTTAGCATGTGTCATCAACCTGCAGAATAATGANATGAGCGCTTGACGCAACCCCAATGTTGGCGCCGGCACTATAAATGCAGCATTACGGCGCAAGAAATAGCAGAGGAGATCGGACGTCGGCACTTTGCCAACGCAAACCTGAGTGAAACCAGGTTAGAAGGATAAGAAACGGTCGAAAACGAAATCGCGATATTCCTGATTATCGTTCAAATACACGAGGAGGGCCACGAAAATGTCGGAATCACGGAAAATCACGACACTTGACGGCTTAGCTCTGATATTTGTCTCTATATCGAGTTTCTTCTTTAATAGTAAACGTTTCAAAGCACACAACAATAATGTCAAATCAACTTAGAATCCATCTGGCTTTTAACAAAATACTGATATTATATGTCGTACTCAGAACCCACAGGACACATGGAACGCAATCATAATTGCCAATTGCGATTACAAGGTTGGCTTACTCGAGGTTAAAACATCAGCAAACCGCCTCATTGCCCAAGGTCCCTTTTCAATGCGTCGTACATGTGACGGGTGAAGATTTGTGTTCGAATAGATCATGCCTCGGAAAGAAATGTTTCGATGGTAAAATTCTGCGTTCAGTGCATTTTATTTCACAGTGAATTTTTGTAAGACCAACGGGCAGCACAGAAATTCCGTTTTTGTAAAGGGCAAGCCCAGCGCCTGAATGTCTCCTTAGTGTTTTTCGCGATTCCCTCATACCACTGGAAAAAAGAGCCAACGAATCAACTCGTATCTGCTTTGCGGTAGTTGCGGTAGCAAATTCTGGCATCGACAATTACTCAATTCCACAACTGAGAGCAGTGGCTAACAAAAACTTCAATATGCTCACGGTCGGGGGTCAAAATCTTTCGTAGACTCTGTACATTCTTAAGCTTCATACTTTGGAAGGTGTAAATGCAAGTCAGATGTTAGTGGCCCACCTTCTGTTACCCAGCCCTTTCTGCATCTTCTGACAATGCATGCAAGAGCTACGTAGGGACAAGTTTCCCTGTATCTAAAGAACCTGTCATTATAGAAAATAGGGTACTATTCTACTATTACACCCCCAAAAACTCAAAATTTTAATTTTCGATGAAACTTCGCTTATAGGGGTAATCCGATGCCCTGATAACGGATATGACCTTCATTTTTGGCGTCGGCGCCATTTNGCTCCAATTGGCACCAATTTGGCGCCAATTGGAGCCAAATGGCGCCAGCGCCAAAGTGAATGTTATATTCGTTATCAGGGCATCGGATTACCCCTATAGGCGAAGTTTCATCGAAAATAAAAATTTTGAGTTTTTGGGGGTGTAATAGTAGAATAGTACCGAAAATAGACTAGGGCGTGGAAAGAACGGGTAAAATATCGAAATGTATTCCAGGAAGGCTTTCAGCTGCTTCAAAAATTGCATGAAGACAAATGCGCCCTTCGAACTAAACTATCGGAGACGAAATCTTAACGAACTGTTCTGTAAGATAGGTTCTGATGGGGCTACACTCTTTTTCAGGCGTCATTCAAGATGTAAGGCAGCTTCAGGTTGTGTACTTTACATCGTGACACTACATGTTACGGCTGAAACTTCTGAAGCATAAATTAACGTTTACTTCTTATGATTAGGGATAACGTGCTCAGGGCAGCAAACTGTTATGATTTTTGTGCATGTTAGATTGTACATCAAAGGCGATTACTGGTATCCTCGGAAGGACATTAGCGAAGAAGGCTTTTCAAGTCGTGCCGGCGAAGAAGGCTTTGCTTTTCAAGTCGTGCCGTTGGTGTTACTGTTACTGCAATAATCATGGCTGCGCATGGGTTATTTTCCATCACCTGTGAGGCTTCGTAATGTAGTGAATGTTGGGAAATGTCCCAGTAATACCAACGGCGCGGCTTGAAAAGCCTTCTTCCCCGGCACGACTTGAAAAACCTTCTTCGCTAATCTCCTTTCGAGAAGACCTGTAATCACTTTTAATTTTTGTTGAAACTGGGCTGCACTTCCTGTAAAAGCTATCCGTATGCATTGGTTGCATTCATAGTACCGTTGCAGACGCCGACGTCAACTTAGAGCGTTGAATCTGGTTTCGGAACTATGAGTGCAAACAGTGGCTCCAAGGATGTGCTTTCCCATGACCTATTTTTTAAGATAAGAATATTTGAAATCGGTTTTAGATGCCTGTTTTCTCTCCTCCCAAAAAACGGTCACGAAGGGATAGTGAAGAAGATTCTTCCAGATTCGATGGAGTAAGGTTTTCTATATATGTATTCGTTTTTCTTTTTACTTTATGGTGCACATTTGCTCGAGAAAATTGCGCGCCCGAACCGTTCTCGAGACTGAACGTTTTTATGCGCCTGAAAATGAGCACTGAGAAAATGGCCAAATTGTTGGGTGGTCGAGTTCAAAAGCAAAGCAAATGTCAGAAGTGCCCATTGTGATGTTCGACTCGGCATTGCTCATTTCGTGGGATTGAAATGAAAAAGTTAAAGCTAATTTTCTGACTCCGGTCGTTGCTGACCCCCCTTTTAGTCATTTCCATCCGCACAATAAAACTATTGAACAGAAACGTCATGTATTTGTGTATCAAAATCGCGAACGAAGTTGTTAAAGGCATCCTTCTGAGATTGAGCGAATACTGCTCCCGCTCCCCTAGTTGCGATCACGACCATGCTCTGGAAGCTACGCTTGCGCTAGCAGAGAACAACAGCGTGGCTGCAGTATCACACTGTCAAAATGATATGCTTTTGACCGTTTTCACACTGACTTGATGTCTTTTGAAGAGTGGAGATTACGAGGACGAGCACGACGATTATGATGACGGTGAAGAGCTAGTACATAGCAAAGAAGATCTTATTTCACCTCATGAAATGGTGGAACAAATCGAGGCGAGTTCTTCAAACATTAAGACGGATTTTTTCGCAGTGTCGCTTACTATCCTGCTGCTCGTGCCATGTTGCTTTTTCTAACTGCCTAGAACTTCGTTATTGAATTTGGGCACGTATGGTCATATTGTGCTTCAATTACTTTAATTACTTGTTTTACAAAGTTTTATTCTAGAACTTCCGTAAGTTTGTCGAAGAACGTGGTAAGCTGTCAGTATCATGGTCGCGGATGAGAGGATTATTTGATGATTGGATGAGACAGCAAACTTCTAATGTAGTAGACTCGGAGTTAGTTGCTACTTTCGCTTGATTTTATCCTAAAGGAGTCATTTGTTGATTAAGACAGCACTGCCGTTTTTGTTTCGTGATAAAGTAATAATGCATAAATGTAACATTCTTTTCCTTCTATTAACTATTTTTCCCGGAAGCAATTCGCTGCTGAGTTGCATGTCACTTGATTCCAATCCTCGCTGTAGTGCAGACTAGTCATTTCGTAGACTTTCAATTTCAAAGGACGCAAGGGACTACTAAATTTCTGTCAATCATCATAATATTGATGATGAAGTGGTCATTTTCATGACTATTATATCAGTAATGAAATTCACCGTATATTTTCAGAAGAGTATGCATATAGCATTACTTCCGTTCAATAGAACACTTTTACTTTGCAGCGATTTCGATCTGAGAAGCAAAAAAATGCACCTTGTCCACTTTCTTTCAGGATCTTAGAACAGAACATGAGTGCTGGAACATGAGAGCTTAGAATCTCTTAGCAACGCAAGCTATGATTATTGATTCGGCCAGCGAGGTACCTAGAGTGTGAAAAGAGTTTTGGCCTTTTTCTTAGGTGTTGAGAAGAGGGGCTTTGGAGCTAGCTCAGCAATCTGAGTGTCATTGCATAACGAATAACTAAGCTTATGGGAAATTCAAGCATCCTGACGCTTCTTTGTGTTCTGTTAATCGTTATTTTCAGTATCCTATTGAAATCGTTCAAGCGGTACCTTTCGTCGTCTCTCAAACCAACTAACATGTCACTCGACAGCTGTTTCAGGTGAAAGTTCCGACCAATTTTATTCATTCGATTGTTAAGACCCTTCGTTATGTTTAGTCGCTTTGGTGGATGGACGTTAGTTTAATCTTTATGTTACACCTCTCCTCTTGAACGCTCTCAATCCGGCAATACGGTTTTCGTGATTTCGGCACTGAATGTATCCTTTTCCATAACGTTCAACTGTTGGAGTGCTTTGGGGAGTGAGATTTTTCAAGTGAACAGTATTTTTGCCGGTCTCTCGAGAAATCGAAGCGAAGAAGTTTGAAGTCATCTTCAAGCCATCCTTCGTGGATATCGCCAACAACTCTATCCTGGTCATCGGATCTTTAAGCGTCTTTGGTTGCACCCAGGTTTATCTTCAATTCAGAATTCCTAAGGAGATGGTAGTGTTCTCGGAAACGCTATCGAAAGTGGTATAAATTAAGATCGCGTCCGAGAGAAGAAAGAAAATTAACCTTCTTCCACAGCTGTCTTGCAAAACACAGCCCTGAATCAATCAGTGTATTTCATAGATGGAACACTACAGGATCTGTTCACATCCTAAAATCGGCAGCTTTCGCGTTTAAGAAATAAGGAAGTTCGAGTGGGGATGACAGTGTAGCACTCGTTCCAAAACTGCATGAAAAACACGCTCACGACGAAAACTAATTCCCTATCGTTAGAACAACCCTCAAAGTACGAACGGAATCGTCGGTATGCAGTAAGAAGCGTCGTCGAGGTAATCGCGAGTTAGCGGTTTTACTCAAATTTTTAATTTTACTACTTGGTTTAGAAAAGCTCGTGTACGCGTTCATTGATTTCAGTTGATCACATAAAAAACACTATTGGGAAGCAGTCCACTATTTTTCTCGTTAATAATTAGTCGATATTATAAATGGCCGTCGAAAAAGCAAGCGACAGCCGCATCGCTAACTTTGCATGCATTTAGACCAGATATAACGATAATACTATTATAGAAATGTTCGAGAGTATCTTGATCGCCCGGACAGCGTTCTATTGCACAAAGATTTTCCCACGAAGCCTCCATCGCTCCTTCAGTACTACTGTAAAAAATTTGGACATACTGCAGGATTTGGAAAATATAAGGTTCGATTTAAATCTAAATCAAAACCGTGTCAAATTTATTAACCGAAACTGATTCATGATTTTGAGGAGTTAGCAGATCGAATGAGGGATGATCACGCGGGGAGGACAGAGTGTGAGCAAGAGCTGTTGGAGCTTGAGGTGAGATCTACAGATATTGTTTTGAGGTATTGTAGCGACTAGTAGATTTTGTGCCTTCTGGCAAGCTGTTAATTGAGATATCCTTCCAAGAACACCTTTCTTGTGCATAGTTGACATGGTCTAGTACATTTTATAGGAATCCTGATTGGACGAGTGAGTAGCACTCGAATGAGTTCCACAAAAAACTGTTGAGCTAATAAAGGTTTCCACATCACAAAAGAAGCTTGGGTCGTATTTCCGTGGTCATCTTGTTCAGATGACAAAAACAAAGTGGGAAAGGAAGATGTATTGCCGACTACTCCCATCCTTCCTATCCAGATAAATTTCCGTTTTGCTCAGGGTCTCGTAGGTGCTCAAATGCTCTGTCGGGCTGAAGGGAGTTTCAATACATGATTGTTCTTATGTGAGCTGATGAATGGTAAGCAAGTTGTGTATTGGCTCAAATACTTTTGCAGTCATCCTTATGTAGCAGTTCAGTTGATTTTGGGCCCTTGCAAATGGAAGGTCATTTTGTTATAATAGCAGTTGTTAATTATTTGAGATACATAGGGATCCTTGTTACAGTTTAGGAAACAATATTTGGCTTTCTTTTCTTCTGGTTCTATCCCTATTGAGGACCATAGTGAAAAATATTGACAATTAGCGAGTATTGTTAAGGTTAAGAGGAAGTAGACTATCCCAAACCACGTCATTGCATAGTTTCAAAGTCAAACTTTGTTTGTAAAAAGATTTCTTGTTGTTCGATCTCTAGAATTCTTTTTGAATTCCAGAAATCTTTCGTCGAGAAGTTGGAAGGATTTTTGGCGAGTAACAGTGTCGTTCTGCTGCCAAAACAAAGAGAATTTGTCGAACATAAGATTAAACTGCACCGACGGAAGGTACGACTTATATTTTCATGAATCAGCTTTGTTAGAAGCTTTTGGACGCAACTGCCTGTTCCCTATCGCAATCTAGCTTATTCTATCATGATTACGTGTGCTGAGTATGAGCGGATATTGGAAAACAATATAATTTGTCGTTGCAGTCATTTTATATCCTGAAGAGAATTCTGCACTTTCTTTTTTGAAAATTCTTTTGCCGTTCGAGGATTTCAGGTAGAACACCTTATTAAATGAACGGCCTACCGTTCCGACGTAATCGTCTTCTTCAAAGGCCTAAACGTAATTCGAGATGGTTTACATCATCCGATAGCGTTTGACTCTCTAGCAAAAAAAAAACAACCGAAACTCATCGGAAGTTGGCTCATTTCATGAAATAATCACCAGGCTCCACCGTCAAGTCCTATAGAATCCGCTGTCGCCCCAGGCGATTGTCAGTGGCTAATGAGACTACTTGATGTCTCTCTTATATAGATAAGGAAGCTCGCATTACTACTGATCACGAGTCATAGCTCGCAGAGGGGTAAGTATCGTAAGAGGCCACTGGTTGTGGATGGGTACTCATCCCTGTTGTTTATCTCAGGATTCCTCTGCAGAATCCGGAAACCCAATGCTTTCTTGCTGAAATTTCTGTCTCCTGCGTTAAGATCGTGCGCTGCATTTGCTATTCTGCTGGCGGGTTCCATGATAAAAACTTTCATATCACCATAGCATATTTGAAGGAGTCATCGAACTTTTGGCGCGAGACTTGTCTGATCGTTCTTCTAGTTGCGCTTATTGCAACTCTTTACCATCCTAGCATTCCAGATGTTCCCAGTGCCACGAACGCCTAAGGCGAAGGTCAACAAAGCGAACGGAATCCCAAAAGAAGAAAAAACTGCTTTTGATTTGTTCTGCTCGACCAAACAGGACAAGTGAGCGACTAACCTTTTTCCTTTCCATCATTCATTTCCATTCATTCTATCGAATTCTACATCAAGGTATACCGATCTACCTCCCGAGAAAAGATTGAAGAAGTTGAAGAAAAAGTTTGATAAGCTGCCCGACGACAAAAGAGAAATATTTGAAAAGCTTGCATTAGTTCGATAATCCTTCTTAAACTGTCAGTTGTTGTTATGCCTCGCCGTTCTTGTATAGGAGTTGACATCTTGCTTGTTACATTGTTATTGTCTTATGGATCCTTTAAGATTGTTTTACTACATATATGTTCTGAACATCGAACCGTTTACCTCTTCATTTATGTTTCCGAGGAGTCCACACATGGGCTTGGAATGCGTTGAGGGATCTCTAATAATGTCGTTACCGATTCACTAATGTGATTAGAATGAATGAATGATATATTCGTCTAGACGCTATCACTTTGGTTGCTTTACGTAAATACGTAGCTATATTCTCCGCTATTTTCAGTCAGTATTCATATTTTAACAGTATGTGTCACTAATTTAGGACGTTAAAGGTTAGCTAGGAGTTCTACTGTACCATGGCATCTGAATCAGTCATGGATTCTAGAGAGGAAGAGGTATCGGTTTACTCTTTTTTCGGTTTGTGTTAAGGAAAGGTCTCAATGATGGGACCTGTCGCTATCATACATAATGCTGTGCGGTTTCCGAAAGTGTGAGCCGATGTGAGTGGAATGGAGTTGTTCTGAGAGTTTACTAGAGTAGAGATAGATTTCTTTCTATTTGTACGTCTTGAGGACATTGTAAAGTCTACAATAGCGTGTCCTTTTCAAAAACATTATTAAAATCGATTTGTCAGTGGGAAGCCTTCACAACCTACCTCATTGTTAGAATTAACACTGCTCGTCCTTGCTACACATCTCCTCTACTTCCGATACATCTCCTCGTCCTTGCTACATACAAATCCTTGTTTTGCGTAAGCCTGGCCACCATAGCTCTTCAGGCAACACTTCATCAACGCATCTTTTTTGCTTGTAATGTTTTCTGCCAACTGTCTGTTGTGGATTTGTTGATTTCTGTGGTGATTGTCGTAGAAGTATGTAATGTTCAGGTTGAATTGTCACCATCACGCAATGGTTTAACTTCGTTGACGAACGTTACTTACGTCGACATTTCTTCTCGTGCAGAAGATATCCAAGCGGGGTTGATTGATACATTCCTCAATTTAGAAAAAATCGACAAAAATCTTTTCCTGTAAGTCGTAGAAGTTTAAAGCTTATTTCAAAAATTTGTATTATGATCGGATCCCGGCCTAGAAGCATCATGCTTTCAGAGCACGTCATTTATTGAAAGGACGAAACTCCTTACCAGTAGTTTATGGAGGTCAGGTTATTGGTCAAGTGAGTTGACTTTCTTTGTCTATTGACCTTTTTGCAACGATTACAACCTTATTCCTTAATTTCCATCTTACAGGCACTCTCTGCGGCGACAGCCACGGTTGGCAGCGGTTTCTTACCAAATAGCCTACATAGTTATTTTGTGCAAAGCGGTGCGTACACATATATTCTTCGTCTTCAATCTAGGGAGTTTATTCTTACGTCAAGAAATTATTGCTGGCTTTATTAACCTGGAATTCCTCGATGTATTGTGTTTTATTATGCTCGTTGACAGGGAATGTTAACATGCCCATTCTTTACATGGTTGATCGAATTCGGGATGGACGTAGCTTTTGTACTCGTTTGGTTAAAGCAGTCCAGAATGGGGACGCTATATTCACCGTGCAAATATCTTTTCATAAGGTCAGTGATGTTGTCAAGGGTTTGCCTTGATCAGATTGTTCACTTACAACAACAATAGAGTTGGTGGTGGAGTTGAAGTGAACTGAAATTGGCTGGTGTTCAAATTGAGTGTTGTTGGTGGTGATTACCACCAACGCCCTTCATTTGTTATCAGCCGAAATTGTGCATATTTATGAATGACCACGCAATCGTTTTCCGTGCTAATCGTACTTTTTCCTTATTCACTCCTCGCGCTTACTTTTCGGCGCTCCGAAAAGTTCCCTCACATTTTTCGCTTGTTGCAGCTTCCACATTATACATATTTAAACAGCACTCCTCGTTCGTGTAGGAGTAATTAGCTCCAACTAGATTGCTGTTCGCGGATGTGGATGACATTAGGTTAGAGAATAACTTCCTATATTTTTTATATTTTCCCCTTTTTGCGATTTTTTTGCTGTTCGAGGAAATGTACTTTTTCTATGCAGTGAAGCTCCTCCTGTGTTAATCAATCGCCCTCTCGAGCAGCTCAATTCTGATCATCTTCTGGCCTAGAAATGCAATATCTAAGAGGTGAAAGGCAGTATTCTCGATACTAGCTCTTCTTCGCTTTTCATCGAGGCCAGAAAACTGCTGAAGCAGCCCGGAATTCTGCACCGTGTGGGCGAAAGTTTCATAGCAGAATCTACAGCATATAGATGGTTTGCAGGATTAAAAAAACTTCTGAGTTGAGAACTCAGAAGAACTTCTTAATTCAACGAAGAGATTCGCAGAAGGCATTGAATACTGGAGAATTTCGAGAGCAATATCAAGGTTACTTAATAGCCCATACATATAGCCCAGCTACACTGTATGAGTGGGAGTTCTTTAAGCATGAGTCGTATTCTCTGGACCTTGTACCGCCGGATTATGGTTTTTCCAGTCCCTACTCTCGAATAGATAAGGAAGAGGACCTTGAAAACTAGGGGAACAACTTCTTCGATTCCAGATCGGACAAGTTTTGGTGGAACGGCATCGATAAATTTGTTGAAAGGCTGGAAAAAGGCGAAAACAGCGAAGATGAATACATAACAGATTAATTGTTCGATATTATTAATGATTTTCTTCGAATTAAAGTATTTGCAAAAAACTCTCCGACCTTATTCCCCAACCTAATATATCGAGGAGTGATAATATGGGAACTATGTTGTTCGTCTAACACTTTTCGTTCAAACACATTGCAAAAATTTTCATTTTACAAACGGTTCGAATCACAGCAACTGTAAACGCAGTTACGCCGGACATGTTCTCCAGAACATGAATGAGCTTGACTATGACCTAGAGGTTTGTCGGTAACAGCTATATTACCAAGTTCTCATTTTATACACGGATAAAGCTGATGAGTGTTTTGTGGACAGACCATAATTTAAATTGATAAAATCGCTCTTTTCACCCTTTCTCTTCTACTGGCGAGCAAGATTGAATCTTTTCAGCCCTGCTTGCGTACTGCCAATGAAGGACGCTATGTAGAAAAATATTTCGAGAAAGCGATACATTTTCCATCGGTTTTTCATCGTTCGTGCAAGTTTAGCCACAGGGAAGTAATTAAGGTGGTATTACTACTTCGGCTTCATTAGAACAAGTTCCATTATAGAAGTTTGTCATAAATAGGAGTAGGGAGCAGGGGGGGGGGTAGTTTCTAATTTTCGCACTACGTACTTCATAGATTTTATCCATCAGTTCTCACATAGGTGTAATAATACATGCTATCAAGGCCCCGAAACGTATTGGTTTTGTCGAACTGTATCACTGCACCACATATTCCAAGCTGGGGACAGTGGGTCGGGTTACCCATGACCTGGCTGGTTGAGAATTCTGAACATTCAAAATTTGATTTCAAACAACCAATTGAGGCTCAAAGCTTATTGCTTTGAGCTTTAACTGGGTGTTTGAAATGTATCTGAATTTGTGCTATTATTATGATGACACTTCAGTATTATGGACTGAATCCACTCGATACACTTTGCCATACAGTACTAGCTTAACACTTGCTACTCATTACAAAACTGCAAACTCAATAACTTCAACTAAAATGTTGCCATTCGGAGGGTGATAGATGGACTGAGGTGTCACGTTGGCTGAATTTCGCCCCAAAGTTGAACCTCGATGTGTTTTGTGACTAGAAGCTCATAACAACTCAAAATCTTGAGCTATTGATTTTATGGCGTGGCGAGTCTTTAGAAAAATATTGTTATTTGTTTGGTATTTTTTAGCCGGAACCTGATTCGATTTCTCATCAAGTGGTTATGCCCAGTGTGATAGGACCGGAGGGTCTTTTGGACTGGACTCAGCTTATGGAGGAAGCTGTAAAGGTGAATTTAATTGTTTAGTCCTCCCTTTTTGTTGTACCTGCTTTCGTTCAGAATCCTCAGTTGCATCCAGCAGCTGCCGCCATAATTCGCTTCAAGCGCAAAGAGATTCCTCCTGCATTTTTCAGGATCTTTTCCGTGAGTTTCCTTGCTTCCCATGTTTATTCTGCTCTTCTCAACCGCAGACTTCAGTTTCTTCCCGTTGATGTGAATTCGTTCCTTTTCAAACCGTCGGCTACGAACGAATCCAAAAAACCTGATCAGAACAGCTTCCGCTCTTATATGTGGATTAAAGCAAATGAGAACATAGGTACATATATTCCTGACAACTTTTTTAGGTTTGAAGCTAACATTTTGATTCAGGAGATGATCCTCGTTTACACGTAGCTGCGGCTGCATACATCTCTGATGCCACAATGATTGAGACTGCTGTTCGCCCTCACAGCAGGTCTGCATTCCTTGAAGGCGTCACCCTTATCCTACACCGTTTTCCTTTAGCTTCGTTCAACTGAAAACCGAAAAAATACTCCAAGACTAGTTGTAAGTAGTCTGCACAGGTAAACTTCAATGAGCTGTAGGAGGTACAAAAAAGGTTACATGGCCAGTCCGTGGTTACGTTTGATGGGTTGTTTTTCACTGTAGCAACCTGAACAGGATCATAAGAATTCTATTTTTATGAGGTCTTTCTAAGAGTGCGACCACTGTGTGAGATTCACTGCTTCACAACTGGCCACAATCGTTGTGATCCAAATCCGTATTGTTAAGTGAAACCTTTTGAGAGTGGGCCTAGTTCCTCTGGACCAATGAGAAGCAGTAGAGGTAGGAAGTTAATCTTCTGCGCTTGGTTTATCAGGCCTCAACAAACTGGTGAACCGTTTCTAGCGTCCATGAGCGGTATGTCTACCTGACTTCCCACAGGTGGCAGCGATTTTGCAGCGGTCACGGTATCCTTTCACAGGAGATTCAAATCTTCACCTTTGTAGCGCGCGATTTTCTGTGTCGAGAACAAATAGCCGTCCCCTAGGGAAGACCACGAGTGCGTCCAATAAATATCTGAGGATGATGGTAGCTTTGCTTTTCGTACAACTTTAGGCGAGGTGCTAGTATCCAGTGGGTCAATGAGGTAGTGCTCATTACAAGGGATTGAGTCTATATTCATTAAAACACTCCGCGAAGATGTTCAGTCACCATCAACCAACTGAATTGACTCAATCTACCTGAACGTTAATCATCACGGGTCAACCTGAAGGTGTTCGCTACTCGGCACGCGCTCGAGTAGCCCATTTAAAGTCAATATCGGCCCAGCTTGCAGTGAGTTCAAACAGCACATTCCTTCCTAAATGAAGACTCATTTGATCGATACCCTCTGATCATTACACTCACTAAAACTTGTTTTCCACTTCTTAAAGTTTTCCGCTAAGATCGTACTGGCTGACTTTGCGAAATCTACAAATGTACTAGCTCCCATTGAAAACCAGGATCAGGACCCTGGCAATTTCCCTCCCTCTGTCACATCGACCAATATCTGCACATTTTTACCCCATCTACCCTAATATGACTGTTACTGGAACCGTCTAGCCAATGTTGCCTTGTATTTTCATCACATCTCATTCAGGATGGGCTTTATTCCGTCAATGGCTTTAACTTTGGATCATTCAATTTGGATGCACAGCGACCGCTTCCGCATCGACGAATGGATGCTTTATGAGAACCACTCGACAATCGCTTGTAAGTGATCGGTTCAAAAATTTTATTCACATTTTTCTAAGTGTCAGAAGTAAAAAGAAAAGTTTGTTTGGACTTCATGTAAAAGTATGGAAGGCCTGTACTATTTTGCCTTCTATATTTAGGTGGTGTTGAACGGGTAATTGTATGTTCGTTCCTGAACTGTGATCAAAAAAGTAGTAGTGAGGTGGTGCCGGATTGCGTCACCTTCCCACCTATGTGAAAGAGTCAGTTTTGCGCCAAATCTCGCCAGGAAGAAGTAAAGCCCTTTTCACCGCCCTGTCTGATGAACATCTAGCTCCTACGGATTCTCTTCGTGCCGTATAATACACTCAGCTTCATAAGGAGGAAAAGCTCACATGTATTACCTCATGTAAATAATTGTAAAGGCCAAAAACGCTTTTGATCAATACCGCCGAAAATTTGGTTTTTGTCTCAAAAAATATAACATGCACACCATAAAACGAGTCAATCTGCCTCTTTCTTGAATTCGGTGCGTTTGTAATCTTATAGGTTCAGCAACTCTATGTCAAGCGGTTTTTTCGAAGGTAGAACAATAACAATGTTTTCTGAGATTTTATCAAGTCCGTAGTTCTGAAACTTCGAAATTCTTACGCGATATTGTCGGCAACTCGACACAGTCTTATTCTGAATTAGTTCTAGTCCAGCTAAACGGGATTGGAATACATACAGAATAGGAATCTAATAAGCGGGTTATTTTCCCCATCAACACTTACTGGTTAGTGCTCGGTCTATCATAAACGAGGAGCTACCAAAACTATTCTATCTGCTACAGAGAGCGAATATCATGTAAGTCACATTCTCGCTACAGAATCTCACATTATGGAGAGAAATATTTCAACGATGTTTACGCCCTTTTTCTTCCTGTATGGTTTTGGCGCCTTTTCTCTTGGAGCAGTATCGTGCATACAATGCGAAATCACAACTAGAATGGCCTTCCCTCCCCAGCTTTAGACTTGCGATGTCTGCTACATAGGGAAAACTGGGAGGAAGTGTTCTTGTGAGTAACTGTCTGGATGGCGAAGGTAAACTTTGATTGCGCCGTCTAGAAGCATAGAAAATATTGTACTCGTGGCTTTGGCTTTAACTGCACCGTAGTGAGATAAAAGGACAATAGCAAAGTTAGAAAGGTTTTGAGGCTTTACGAGTAAGGCACCGCCCTTCCCCACATCACACATGTGGGCTCTAAAAGCTCAGATACGCAGAATCGAAACAATCTTCCTGTAGTGCTTGCATGGCAGAAGAACGGATGAGTATATTCGAAGTTGAATCTGCTCGAAGAAACTCGATGCATTGGGTAGCGTACGTAGCCTTTTTGGTGGATTTCCAATTCTGTTTGTAGACGTTGCCCTGGGTTGCAAGTTTTCGAGAATCACTCTGCATCACGGTAGATAAATGGTTTTCAGACTTTCACTCCGTCCGAATTGACGTGGATGAACAAATCACTTTGACAACCCTTTTTTAACGATAATTAACCGTAAGAAAATATTTCAAGGACAGCAATTTGGTCGAAATATCAGGAGAAATAATTCCCCGCGAGCAAAAATCCGTTCACTACAAAAGCTTCTGTGCTAAAAAGAAAACGTGGAGATTAGGCGGGAGGGTTGCTGAAGTGACTGTTAAGAAATATTTCGTATTACGGGTGTATTGCTGCTTTCAGACTTCGACGTCCGTCCGTTCGTTCAACGCGTGCCGCGACGTTCAACGCGTTCTAGATAGGTGTTGACAGCCTTTTGTGTTGACGATCGCGTTTCGGCGCCTTTCTAACACCTTTCTAAACCGCGGTTGCGGCACGCACGCAACCGCAGTCGCAGCACGCGTTGAGCGGACGGACGGACGGACGGACGTCGAAGTCTGAAAGCAGCCCTCATGTTGTGTGTCTTATGCACGTACTGCTTGTACAAGAAACTGTTGTTAAGGTGGCGGCCGTACACTGATCGAAGGAAAGTTGTGGACTCGCGATGGTCGTCTAATCTTTTCTACAGCGCAAGAAGCTCTTATCCGTGCTCCAAAGAGTGACCCAGCAGCATCTCATAATGGAAGTTCTCAATGAGTTGTCCTTGTTCGATCTCTATCTAGTCTTCTTTCCAAGACATTCTAGTCGTTAGCTTTAATAACATGACCGATATGCTTTATGACAGCATTTTTGAATGCTTTAAATGCATAATACATCCCACAGGTATGAATGTCGTTTCTCGGATCCATTGCACCCTTCATATCGTGGATTCTCATGGTTATGCACTTCCGTAGGGTTAGAAGAATTAATATTTTGTTTGTGGCAGAAAGCCAGTGTGTTAGTTATATTGAAATCTGTGGAAGTAGGGACCACTGCTGTTACAAAATGAGCTTGAATTTAGAAGTGATCAAAATTGTGTACATACCATAGGTAGATGGTGTCAGGGCTGAACTTGTATCTCGTGTTTTTCCAGTAGTTTGATTGAAAAGTTAAGTAGCGTTAGATAGGCGAAGCTTCGCATTGTGCAGCTACTTTTTGATACTTCCGAACTACGGTTCCAAACCCATGATTAGACTTTATGACTTAGGCGAAAGACTGCTTTCTTTAATTTTTATTGACAGAAGCTCTTCTTTTGAGGACCAAATATTGCTAGGCGGTTGATAGGCTTTGCTTATCATTTCTCCGAATGAATTTCATGTTAGCGTTGTGGTGATTGTGCACTTTATTTAGTGGATAAACATGTTGTGGAGATCTGAAGAAACA